ACGGCTTGTTAATTCCATTTCCCTCTTCCCCTCCAATAATATGTTTGGGTCCCAATTATATCCCAAGACCCAATTCGGATCCCACTAACCCAGCAGCCACTCTACTGAAGTCAATGGAGTTCCATGCGTGTGAAAATCCGTATGCAACCAGAGGAGACGCAGTTTCAAACAATTTATAATATTATTTCAAAGGGCGAAAGACTCTAGCATCCACACTACTGGTTCAAAGCAACAATGCCACTTTATTTTAATGTTCTTTCCCACAGCTTGTCCTTTAAAAGGCACACAAGGTTTTACTGTACCAGGGGTCTAAATGCGTTATTAACTGCTAAGATTACAAACCTCATTTCGAATTGTGTTTTTAGCCAGAGTAAAGTTTCGTTTCTTGGAAAATTGCCCACATGTGTAAGTTGTTTTGCTTCTCTTCAGACCAGGAATTCTTTCCCCCCCCCTCACCACTTGCGGATTTTGAACAGACGGCGGTATTCAGACTCAGAGGCAGCACAGGAAATGGTAAAGGTAGATCCTTCTGCTTTTAGGCTACAGAAACTTATTTCACTTTTTTAAAGAAATGTTTTACTCTTCGGGACCTTTTTGATGATGATGATTCGCCCTCCTCATCAATTTTGCAAGCAACCCCTGACTGAATTTCCTTTCATAACCTCTTAGCTTTGAGTAAATGTCAACATTCTGTTTGTTTCATGCTGAGTTTTGATTTCTGTTTCCTGTCTCTTTTTATTCCTTTTCAATCAGTTATTAGCTTGGTTATTATTATTTAATGCTGAATGTTCTTCACAGCTGCAGAATGAACGCTAGGATATTTGGGATTTGGGGTTATCTTGGAATCTCGCCCTTCAATCTCTCGATAGCTATGAAGTTCACTCCCAACTTTTTATTCACTCTATATCGCCCTTATCTATTGAAAAGAAAAACTGCATGACACAGTGAATTTCTCTTAAATGACAATATAGGATACATATTGTGCACAGACGCCATATTGGCCTCTTGGCTCAGAAATCCTGGATCAAATCCTACAATCCTTACTCAATTCTGGCTTAAGATAAAACTGCTATTGAGGTCAATGGGTTTTTTTTTGCCGGAGAAAGGAATACTGGATCAGAGCTTTTGTGTTCGCAGAACTTTTCCACCTTCTTCAAGTGGATGATAAGGAAGAAAAATCTCATGGAAAAAGGTGCCATTTCTAATAAATGACAACAATAGTTTTTTTTGTTTTTTTTTTTAAAGTGGTTAAATATGTTTCCGGTAAGCAATGGATCATCTGTTTTTTCTTGTGCCAGATCTTATAAATCAGTAAAATGTGACTGTTACATAGAGTTACAATCTGCGTATTTAAAACACACTTTATATGTGCCTGTTTTCAGCATAGAACTTTCCGCCCAAGTAGCTGATTGTTCAGGGTGAAATTTGGCAAATGTGTATTTCAATGGGAAGAGCTATTTAGAAATTATTTCTTCCCCTCCCGCAAACAATAAATATTATTTATAAATAGCATCTGGGTTCAAAAAGCTTTGGCTTTCCAGTTCAAGAACAAAATATTTAGCATTTTTCCTCACAGCCAAAAGGATTTGGAAAGTTTGGCAGGGATGCTGAAAACAAAACAAAACAAAACAAAAGTTGCTCTTCTAGATTTCTGGGAAATAACTGTTCCCAGTTCCGCTTCCTGTATCCAGTTCATAAATGCACAGCTCTAAAATGAATCCAACTAGTACATAAATCAAGCAGAACTTGTACGTCATCTGTGCAAATATACCAAAGTTGCACCAATGCAATTTACATTGAGAATCTCGAATGAGGTCAATTTCTCTTTTGCTTTTCCTGTTCCAAGTTATTTGCAAAGCACTTAACTTTTCATGCTGTTTCTGGTGTATGTCGTTATTATTATTCAATTCTCTAAAATGTACACCAAACAAAACAGTACACACATAAAAGTGCATCCTCACAACAGATAGATCTGGTATTAAAATATAGCTGTGAAGAAGACCTCAGACCATCCTCCAACCCTCCTGCCCCCAAAAAAGGATACAAGAAGATGAAATATGGTGGTGTAAATTAAAAATAAACCACTGGACAAACAGAAACCTCCAAAGTAGCCAAAATAGATTAATTCTGCAGATCTCCTTGTGTGGTTTCCATTCACTAGGGATCGCAAGCCCTTTGGATTCTGTTTCAGAGTTACACTCTTGCAGTCTTTTGGGTTTTAATTTATATACTACAGAAAAGTATCTACTCAGCAGCTGACATGCGTCATAATTATTTATAGGAGGTGCACTAGGATTTTTCCAAGAATATATTTATTACAGGTAAGACATGCCCAATTTATCTTGCAAACCCAGAACAGGTGTTTGGCTTCAATTAATGTTCAATAGTTCCATACACACTTATTCACCATCACCACCACCACCACCACCGCCGTGGCTGTTTATCCATCATTTATATCATAAACACACTCCCACCAGCCAACCAAGTTTGAGCGCCACAATGCACTTAAATCTGTCCACTCCTTTTCAAGCTATCATAACATTTGGAGAGTTCCTCCGAATCCGTTATGAGAGAGATTGAGTTTTGGAAATCATTCCTGGAAGGCAATAAAGCTGAGAAAGATGACAAAATACGCAGCAAGCTCGTATTTCACTTTTAATAACATGGGGGTATTTTCATGTCGGAGCCTCTTCCACTCTTAGGGAAGTTTAAAAAAAAGTTAGAAAACGCAAGGATTACCCAAGGCGTTTCACACAAACCCTTTTTGTTACTGGTACACACAGGGGATTGTTCCTGAAGGAGTCGGTCCCGCACACTTACCCAAGAGAATAACTATGATTAGATGAGTAGCCCCATGGAACTCAGTGGATCAGAATTCTGTTCTTCCATCGATTTATATCCAATTGGAAATAGAGTTACTTTGGATTTACCCTGCTGTAAGTGAGGGCAGAATCCGAACCAGTGGGACTCCTCACCTGTGTAAATGTATTCACGGCACTATTTCAAGATCCCAGACCGGTAGATATGAAAATGTTATAAAAGGGTCTGCAAACCGTGAAAGAAATTGCGCTTTTGTTGTTATTGCCAGATGTATGTATTGATGTGATTAAAAATATGAAATACAGGATTGAATATTTACTATCCTTACACACCCACCAGCCCGATGTATTTTAGAGAAGCGCCTATTTACTAACAAGAACTCATCTAGAAGAAGACACATCCAGGAGATTTAGACATATGTCATTCTACACATTCTGTAGCTGACTTGCTTGCATAAGACACATTTTGTAGGAATTAAGGGGAAATGTAAAGGCTTGGAGGTTGGTTTTTAAGTGCCTTTAACATTTTCCACTAGTAAAATGCCTTTGTCTTAGAGATATTTCACGCACATCTATAGCTATATCTCTATCAATATAGTAAGAGAGAGAGAGAGAGGAGAAAGATTTGTTTTGTTTTCTCTTAATTTGAAGATGGTCACTTAATACCCAATATCTGATTATTAGTCCGCTCCTAAAGACATATCAAATATACATCAGAGCCAATTTAGAAAATATTCTTAATGGGTAATATTAGCAAGTTATATTCTATTAACTTTAAAAATAATTCTGTGTTAGGAGAAGAACTCTAGCGAGATACAAGGAGGCAAATCCAGCCAGACTGTAGCTCAGATGAAGTCCGGGGATAATTTAGCACAAAGTCACAGTAGAATTTGACCGACATTTAAAATCTTAGTGTAACCCTCTTGGAAAGAATGCATCTCACATAATTTGGCTGGACGGACGCTGTTTCCTCTGCGCTCCAGACTCGTTAGTAGCTGTATCTCGTTAAAGCCTGTTACTCATTTCCTGAGCTATTAGCAAAAAGAAATCCACCCCATTTAAAAAAATCATGTTTACATACAAGTGGGATATTTTTTCATATATGTGACTGTGGGAGTGGGGTAGGGTGGCGAGCCATAAGCTGCAGCCTAAAATGTGAAAGACTCCTTCTCCCCCCCCCCTTTCTTTTCCACAGGCAATAAATTCGAGGCTATAAAAATCAAAGAAAGCTAATGTAAGTGTTATTAAACTATTTAACCGTCACAAGTATAACGCGTTCTGTAACAAAGCAGGATCCGTGCCACACTGTATTTTACTAGCCTTGTAAAGTTAAAGGCAGGCTTCTAGTTTCAAGCGGTGTATGCGACCATTTCAGCCCTAGCAACGCAATCCTGGGCTTACACTGGTGAAGTACAGAGACATGCACTCTGATTTTTTCCATTTTAGACAAACCCAGCCATAGACAATGGAGGTATTATGGTCCGCCCGACAAAGTTATGATGTCAGATACATGACAATGACATTTGAAATTTCAAATATACTCCGGTTAGTTTCCTGTGTTAAGAATCCAATTTTTGACCCATTCCAGAAGGGTTAGTGCTTTATAACCAGCCCCTTCCCTTCGCATGAATCTCTCTCGCTAATAACTAACTTTTGGGCCGAATTGTACAGATTCTCCGGCTTGTTACAATTGCACATGGGTAATTGAATGGCAAAGAATTGCTTCCCCCTCTCTCTCTTCCCCGCCACACGGCGGTTATTAAAGCCAGAGAGATCCGCGAGTTGTGCTTTTCCCCCCTTTATGTTTCAGAAGCAAATGTACGAAGGCGTATTAGCCCCACACTGTATGTTTCGTGGCTTTCTAAACTACTGACGTTTTGCAACATTGCATAAACATAAAACAATCCATCCTTGATATGGAATGCAAGGGCGAATGACAGCGCTGTTCAGCCCCCTCGCCTGCGATTGATTTACGCCTCTACTGACGCTTTATCAGGCGCACGAAAAAAGTTTGACCAATCATTTTGCTAGGAGCTCACAACACAGCAACCCAACTGTACTTTGTTGGCTAGGAAGTTGGAGAAGGGGGTAGAGTACAAATCTAGATCTGTCCTATATATATATATTTATATATATTATTTTTTTCCCTTCATTGAACCGTGCTTTGTATGATGTCTGAGAATGTCCATTTCTGGGACTCTTAGCAATTATTATGTCGACTCTATTATAAGTCATGACAGTGAAGATTCGCCTTCAGCTAAATTTTCAACTGGGCAATATACAAGTTCCAGGCAAGCTGGACATAATGATCATCTAGAATTCCCCTCTTGTAGTTTCCAGCCAAAACCTCCAGTTTTCAGCGCCTCCTGGACTCCTTTGAATCCACATTCTTCTGGTACCCTTCCTTCGGTCTATCATCCATATATTCAACATCAAAGCGTCCCTTCTGATAGCAGGTATCTACGAAGCTGGCTGGATCCAGTGCCCAGAACAGAGAACATACCCGGGCAGGGATCAGTTAAATCAGAGCCTCTGCTGGGGCACCCCGGGGAAGTCCATAAACCAGGAGCACAGGAGTACAATTTAGAAACTTCTGCTGGAAGGGAAGCGATCGTTTCCAATCAAAGGCCCAGCTTCGAGGACAATAAAGTTTGTGAAGGAAGCGAGGACAAAGACAGGCCAGATCAAAGTAAGTTATAAAAGTGAGGAAGTAAACAGTATAAAGGCTGAGGCGGTGCAATAAAACGGGACAATGCAAAGCAAAGTTAAAAATCATGTCTGAAAGAAAACGCTCAGATTACTGGTGCCAGCCTAAAGGACAGGAGAGGGTGGTGGTGGAAAGAGGTGGTGGTGGTGGTGGGGAAGAGAATGGCATTGCTTTGATTAAATCTCCTTAAGCAGTGTAGAGCCCAGAGCAAATGCAAAAAGCTTAGTCAAACCTTCCTCTTTGCTGGCATGCATTCTTTCCTGACTTATTCAAAGCTCCAAAACCGTCGCTTTCCTAGCAAAGGGTGATGTTTGGGGGGGGGGGGAAACGTAAATATTGGGAGGAAAGGGAATGGAGGCTGAAAAGTGGAATAAAGCCGAGGGAGGGGGTGAGAAAAGAAAAAGGTGGAAGAGTTCACGTGGAGAAGTAAACAGCAACAATGTCTATTTCATGCTAGCTGCTCTTATTTACCTTGAGAGATCCGAAGTTGACGGTCTGCCTCGTTGTTTCATCTGTCACGTTGCCTCTTTTTTGTTTGTTTATGAAATGTAACGGTGGGGTCTGAATACTTCAGAACCACGCTTCCAAACAGGAAAGGGGGTCTGAACTTAATTAGGTCTTTATTTGTACTGTAGCAGATTGGTGAACTGTTAAACCTAATCATGTGCCTCTTTCGTGAATCGTTTTCTGAAAAGTGGAGCAAACGCTTGCATTTATAATACATGCATATCCATATATATGAATACACACACACAGCTTTAGATACAAAATATCACGCGTGTTAGCTTCTCGCTAGCTCCTGCTCCTTTATTGTACCTGAAAGGTAAAACAGGGCTCTTCTCAGTCTAGAAAGAGGAGGGTGAACCCAGTCAAGATTCAGCACCGTTATCCATATTTTGTATGGAATGCACACGTTTTTAAAACGAACTTGACAGCCCAATTCATAGTGTATCCAGGACCAATATTCGCCGAAGGAATATCTCTCCAGCACGTTTAGCATGTGTAATTACACATTGATTTCTCCCCCCTCTTAAATGATCGTTATTATTAATTTTTTTTGCAACGTGTAACCGATTTTGCAATTGCAACTACGTGATTACAAATAAAACTATACATTTTCCCGGTGTGCAGTGGTGGCGTTATGTCTATCATTTAACTTACCCCGTGCACAAAAAGAAAGTCCTATTCTATTGTACTGGGCAGAGATCCAGAACAAACTGCGAGTGAGGTGAATGATTTGGGAGAATTACAGAGCCAGGCTCGGTGCTCAATGTCCCTGAAACGGACTAAATACAAATCTTGTCCAGGACAGCGTTATGAAGGTGCAGGTATCCACGCTAATAGGCTACTCTGTGGTTTCTACGGTTCGTGGTTAAGGCGCAAATTTTGTTTCAAAGAACAGTTTGATTTTGGCGGAGGTTGATAGAATGCCAGCAAAAAAAATCTGTAACTGGACTGGAAGAGGGAGCTGTTTTTCAGAGGGCATTCCCACCACTCCCACTGGCTGTTTCGCTTTTTTGAAAATATTACATAATAAGGAAGCTAGTGCCGCCACAAGATTTTCATTTGGTTGTTGGATTTTAAAAGAACGACCTGCCCCAAAAATCATTTCTCATTGGCTTTCCTGGTTAAAGGATTGTATAGAGTCACTAGATCAAACCTCTTTTCCTGTATAAAATGTCATGTTTATTCCAAGAAGATCTTTTATGAAGAAGAGCCTCTTCGTTGCCATTAAAAGATAGGGTAGCGGGACTAACGGTATCAATTATTAACAGCTTTCTTCCTCTTTAATATTTAATTCTGCATATTAGATCAAGTCAATTACATTAAGGAAATAGCCGTGCAAATTTGTAAGATGCAGTACTTACACTGGAAGATTAACAGGATTATTTTTAAAATATTCAATACATTTCCTTTTACGTAGAGGAAACATTCTGTTGGGGTGTTGTTGTTTTTTAATATAATGCTCCATTTAATTTATGCTAAGGTTTATGGCTTTATCTATAATTTCAGAAGAGGCAAAGGAAGTAAAACAGAAGAATGTGATCTGGTCATAATCTTTTCATTTTATTCCCCCAAGTTAACTAGCGGTCAGTCAGTTTAATGTTTACGTGTAATTAGTAGAAGTGTGCAAAGCATTTCTCCCCCCAAAAATATTTCAGCACACCTTCTTGGTGACAAATTCACCAGCATACCTTTGGCACCTAAAGCTAGTGTTCATACTTTATTTCTGATCTTTGTTTCAAAGTCTTTTTGTCTCCACCTGGATTAGATGAAATTATTGGAAAGTGTTTATAAAATGTTCTTATTTCCAATGCCATGTTAAGCGGGGAGGGGGATTATGCGTATGGAACTTTGCTCTTTTCTATTGCATTACTTACATTTATAATACAACAGCAAATGCAATTGTATTTCTGGAGAACATTGACCAGAGCCCACCGAAGTGATGTTTATTGTATTAGGACTATTGCTTGGCACTTAGCAAAAAATAGGCATGATTTATTGATGCCTTATTCAGAAGTAATCTATATATTTTCTTAAGTACAATGCAGATAGGAATGGATATAGTCATATGTGTACACACATATCTGCAAAATATGCCTATAGATGCATAAATTACTCTCTGTCCAGCTACAGACACACGTGTGTGTGGATTTATGCACATGTACACATACATGCATCTATACACGTATAGGTCCCGATCCTGCAAACACTTTAGCGCGTGCTTAATTGTACTACCTTGGAAAACAATGGGGCCACTCCAGGTGGTCAAGTTAAGCACGTGCGTAATTGTTTCCAGGATCGGGGTCCTATACATCAACCATACGCACAGGTGTGTGGATATACTTTTGTGAACATATATGCTTTTCACGTAGCCTTTTCCCGGTAACTCATAACTCAGTGGACATTTATTCATATATATATATTTGATGGTATTATTGATTAAGACCATTCTGAGAAACGAACAGGATACAGAGTATTGATCTTGCTGCTTGTCTTTCAGCCAACCCAGCGGCCAACTGGCTCCATGCCCGCTCCTCCAGGAAAAAAAGATGCCCTTACACCAAATACCAGACCCTGGAGCTAGAGAAGGAGTTTTTGTTCAATATGTACCTCACCAGGGACCGTAGACACGAAGTGGCCAGACTCCTCAACCTGAGTGAAAGACAAGTCAAAATCTGGTTTCAGAACCGAAGGATGAAAATGAAGAAAATGAACAAGGAACAGGGCAAAGAATAAGATACAGAAGGCAAATGCCATGCTCTGTCTCGCAGCTTACTCTATATTTATGGGTGATAGCTTCCGAACTATAAAACATGGAGGGGGGGGGGGTTGGTTCCACCTTCGCAAGCCGGAAGTTTGTAATTTTTTTCTTATGTGAAGGTGCAAATCCTGATTTAGGACATATGCTGGGTTTTGTTTTTATTCCTTGTTTTTTTGTTTTCATACAGTGTAGACATAGGAGGTCCATAGGCTGTGTTGCCATCAGGATATGATGCCTCTATTTTTTAAATGAAAGACAAACAAAAAATCCGATAACAACCACCACCTTGTCACAAATAAACATAGTCCATGCCCACGACACATCCCATTGTCTTTCTGTAACCACGTTAAGGAGAATGATTGTGTCTCTTAACTGATCCCCACCACACACCCACATACATATATTGAAGTGGCAAAGAAACCAGACCATTTACTAGACGACAGACACATTCTTAAGATTTGAGTTTAATTGCATACAACAAACCATTTTCAATTCACCAACTTTATAGCAGTGTATTCGGATTAATGACAGTCAAATATCCCACTGCGCCTCTGTGTTTATTTTTTTATTTTTTATTGTTTTAATCGCTCTGTGGTGGATCAGTGACGTTGACCAGATAATTTAGTATAATCTTAGAAATAATCCTCCCAACCTGGTAGTTTTATATGGGATCATTTGAAAAGTCTATCAGAACAAGAGTGTTAATTGTTTAGCAAAAAAAATAAAAATAAAATAAAATAAAAAAAATAAACAAACAAACAAAAACAAAACAAAAAACCCCACAAACAAATAAAAAGAAAAAACAAAAACAAAAAAGAACCCCCTTCCAACTTATTCCTAACTTTTAGAGGAGGAAAAATGACATTTTTCTAGTTAAAAACAAACAAAAAACAAAAAAAACCTACCTAAGTAGATCTATAAGAGAAGGTAAACTTGTGTTCTTAGTGTTAGAGTATTTATAATTTATTGTGAAATGAATTTTCCTAAAGAATTAGATTGTTTCAGAGGTAAAGTGCCAAGGCTGTTGGTTGTACATTGCTTTCCCCGGATATTTCAGATGAGAAGTTTATACTTGAATATTTCCTTCTGATCTGGTAGAAATGAGTTTTACATTTATACCGTGTTTACATTACATTATAATACGTGCTGTTGCATTTTAACACGAAAAAGAACACTGTTACTGGTTGTGTGACATAAAAGAATTGTGATTGTCTTGTGGTTGCCTTTTTTTGGGGGGGGGAGTTGCATTTAATGTAACAAATATGTATCCTAATTGTTTACAAAAGAGGTCTCATTTCATGCTGGAAGGAATTGAATTCTCATCTGAAAGATCTCCTGGAAGTTTCTCTATACCAGTCCAACCAGGACTGTGATTCCCTTATCTCTCTGTAAGATTTAACTTTTTTGGGGGGGGAGAGGGGAGGGGATAAGGGTGGGAGAGGAGAGGGGGGGAGATAGGGAGGTGGGGGAGTAACTTTAGTACAAGTTGACTATATGGTGGGTATTGTAAAATGTGTCTGTGATTGTGTTTCTGTGAACGTTGTCTCTTGTTTTATGTTTCCAGTGTGGCTTTTTGAGTATACGTTGAGATCTTAAACTGTTACTTTTCAAAGAATGATGACGAATATCAAAATAAACCTATCTTTTTTTTCCCGTGTGCACATTTGTATACCGAGCTACCAAAAGTCTTTCTAGGAATAACAGAGTGTATGGTGGCAAGTTTTAATAGAGAAAAAAAAGTAAAAGAAAGCAAAAGAAATATATTTCTGGTGATGTGTGAGCAAAACAATACAAATCTAATTTCATAGCCAAGAAAACTGCTTGTACTTTTAGGGGAAGATTTTTATACTACTTTTAATCTGCTGATAAGCGATTGCTCTGTAGAGATTCCAGAGTGATATCTTCATTTTCGGAGAGTGCGCCTGCTTTTCAGATTATCCGAAGATCAGAGGCAATGGCGGTGCTTTTCTGTACACTGCAATTTACACAAGTTTAGTTTTCCCCCATTAAAAAAAAATCTTTCAGTCGACTAGAAACCAGATCTGAAAATGTTTAAGCCCAATCTTCAAACGCTTTTTAAGCCTAGACTTTCTCACGTAAAACTTCCCAACTTTAACTGCTGGGGAGCGACAGTGGGTTAAATCTAACCTAACTTCACGTTGTATGGAAATTTGCCTTCCCAAAAGAAATTCCAAAAACCAGGATTTCCCCCCATTTTGAACTGAAAAAAGGAGGAAAGGATCATTATTCTCAATATGGGTTTACTTTCAAAATCATCTGAAATGAAAAGCAACGATTGGGCCTGTTAAAGTTTGGGGTTCTGTATTTTATATTTTGTTTTCTCTCTCTCTCTCTTCATTTAATGAATGACAAATGAATCTGAAGTCTAGTTTTAACGAACTGAATATACTGCCTAAATCTGACATATGGCTCCAAACTGATCCGAAACAGGCTTATCTAAACACTTACTATTTAAAAACAAACAAACGATCAAATACTACCCATAACTTAATTCACTTGTTCAACCTACTGGACTCTAGGATATAACATCCCTTTTCACTTTCCTTAGCATTGTGGTAATGAGCGGATATCTTTAAGGCAACCATGAAATAAGCTTTTTAAATATGGTAAAAAATGTTACTTCGTTTTAGTAGAGGATTTGTTTTTTTTAAAGAACAAATTGTTGGAAAACCTGTTTTCTGTTGCACAAGCCCAAATGTATTTTCCACAGATGTTTAATGCTCCAGAATAAAAATCGATTTTAGAACAACAATACCTATATCTCATTGTGTTATACTGCTTCAGCTAAAATTTCAGAAATATTTTCAGTGTGTTTCCCTGAGTTCTACAGTGGCTCGTTAAGTGTATTATAAAGATCAATTTTTTGCCTTTGTTGGGAAAAAAAGTGTCCATGGAAGAAATGAAATGAATTCATTTCCAGGGTATTAAGTGTTTCCTGGCTTCCACTTTAACCTACTCCGTTTCTAAATCAATTTTGTAAAGTATTTCTGAGACCTCCCTTCTTGGGTTAGATGCACCGTTATTTTAAATCCAGATAGGCTACAATGGCCGTAAGGTGAGTGGAGAGTTAAAAAAAATCTTTGCAAACGAAATAAAATATTCCCACCTTTGGTAGGAATGATCAGAATATATAACATAGGATTCCTATTCCCCAGGACTTGATAAGTAATTCCCGATTTAGAAGTCGTTTTACACTTTATGTCTCATGCCGAAACATATGTGCCTGGAAAGTAAAACAAACAAACAAACAAAAAATTAGACCCTAAAGTTCAGATCAGCAGGAAACAATGAGAAATACAGCCAAGATTCTCTTTCCCCTAATTTTGTTAGCATAAAGAAAGAGTGCTCTAAAAGGCAACATTTTGCTTTAAAAAGCTGGAGGAAAAAATCCTCTTTCTATGGGGTAGCCCAAAGAAAACAAAAGAAGTTAAAAGATTTTTGGAGCTTACTGGAGAAAGAGAGGAAGGGAAGTAACTTGTCATAAAAAAAAATACGTGCAGTGCTCTGCAATAAAAGAATATGACCGCTATAAAACTTTACAGGGTATAAATTTCTGAAGGTTAAAGAACTAAACGGCTGTAAAGCAAACAGTGCAAGAAAACTTTCAGGAGCTCCTAAATTACTACAACGACTTGGGGATGTGGGGAAACCCAACACGTAAATACTCTTTTTTCAGCCTCAATCACATACAAAGTTTTTGTTTAAGGGTTGTTTTTTTTTAAGGGGTGGAGGTGGGGGGAAGGGAGTATGTTAATTTATTCTTCTTTATTCTTTTCTTGCAGATGCCGTGAAAATCCAGCACTCTGGATGCTTCCCTTTGTTCTTTCTTTCTTAGCAATTCCAGGCTGCCAGAATCCCGAGCCATAAACTCACAACAACAACAACACACATACACACACACATATATACACAGAAGTTCTGGCGAGACGTCTGGGCTTGGGAAGCTCTTTATCTGTTTACAGCCCTAGCCTTCCTCCTCCAGAGGAGAATGCCCAATTGTTTAGTCTCGGAATTTGAAACAATAGAGGTTTTCAGAAGCAAAATCATTTCCCCTACTTTATTGCTACTAAAACGACTGGATGGTAGGGATACTTTGCAGAAAACTCTGGGGCTTGCTTTTACTTTTTTATAACCATCTATCCGCAAAATTTCATGAACCGTTTCCTGATTTCCATGCTTCACCCCTCCCCCAACAAATAAGTTTTCTCTCCCCCTCCCCCCCCCCCGCCCCATCCCTCCACCTTTCCCCTAGTCTATTTTTATTGGATTCATCTGTTTGTGTGGCTAGGGGGATTTTTAATTCGGATGGTCGCTAGATGGCGCTGTTGCTCCATGTTAAAAATCACAGGCGAGCCAGTGCCTTAGCATTACGGCTATTTAATAACACCTTGATTTCATTAGAAACAACAAACTGGGTATTGCAGAAGAGTATGAATAATCCTGAGAGATAAAATATAGGGTTAATTATAGCTATTTTGCCGATTTTATAGGCTACATCTATTTTTTCCCTGCGTGTGTAAATTATATGAGATTTAAAAGAAGGTAACTCTGGGAATCTGGTTGCTAGGAGGATTTAGGACGAAACACGCATCTATTTTAAACGTTCATCTGAAAAACAGCTATTTTGTCTTCTACGCGGTTAGTTCGGTTTGTTAGATGACAATATTTTAATTATGCTAAAATCTAAGATTTACATTTTCTGAAATGAAAAAGAATGAATCAAAGATTGGGCGGAGGGGGCGTGTTTTTTCCTTTTAAAAATGCTTCTACAGTGTACTTTCTCATTTGTTTATTTAAAATTGTTTACAGTCATAGACATTAAATTATTTATCCATAACACATGTTTTATGGGTATTGAACCACGGTATTTTTGTATTTTTGCCCAACGGTTCGATTACATTGCTGATTGCTTGCTCAACTGATGCCCATAGATATTTAAGAAAATATAAGAAAGGAGCCTAACCTCTGTATAAAGTTAATAAAAAATAGAAATTTTACCGTGCTGAAATACTTAGAAAGATTCCACTGGTCCAGCAACAACAACGATATAAAGTTTTGTATCTGTAAATTCATTTTCATTCTGATCTTTCCCCCCTCCAAATTACGAAGCAATAATGGTTAAAATATAGTCTCACACATATAGCTAAGGAAGAAGCAAAACAAGGAAACACAAAAATACAATTTTAATATAAGATTTCTTTTAAACTTTTGTATCAAAACATTTTCTGGATAAATACTTCTTTTCACAGATACAACAAATTTATGACTTTTCATATAGAATTTTCTGGAACGGAATATAACAAAAGTAAAAGGATACATTACCTAAAGCAATAATTTTCCATGCAGAATTTAATATGTTGCTTACAAATCCAAAATTTAAATAGCTCTAAATTGTATTTAAATATGCTAAAAACCCCAATACATATTTAAATAGAAATACCTGTAAAATTAATAGAAGTCCATTTTATACACTCAATAAAATGCAAAATAATGAAAAGTTATGTTTTCCGTAGTATGCTTTTTCTCTCTCTGTTATTTCCTAATAAATCTTTCCTCTACTGGGTATTTATAAATTATCTTCTCTCTCTCTTGTTTTTTCTTATAATAGAAACATTTTCCTTTCACCAGGAATCACCAGTACAGTATATGAATGATTTAAGGTCAGCCATTGATTTCTGATGCATTGATGAGTTAGTACCACATGATGACTATAAAATTCTACTGCATTTGATAAAATGTTAACTTCCAAGAACAACTGAAGTGTCTCCTTCTCTGTCTCTATCTATACCAACAGCTGAGTATATAATATGTTTTATTTTATATAAATATATACAGACATACAAGAACTTAAGTTCCTTTCTGAAAATACTTTTGTCTTTTATTTGGGATTTTTGTTTGTTTGTTTGTTGCTGACAATAATCATCCTAATTTTTCTAATAAAACACACACACACAAAACCCTGAGATGTTTTGCTGTTTACTCAGGTGATCTATCTATCTATCTATCTATCTATCTACCTATCTATCTATCTTCAACGATGAAAACAAACTATACTCAATCGACAGTAAAATTGTCTAGAAAAATAAAATCTTAACTTGTCTTTTAGGGGAGAAAAAAATCGTATTTATGCTTCTGCAAACACTCCAACAACAATCATTACTTGAAAAGGATTTTGGAATAGGATAAAATTATCCCTTTGCAAAATAGAGGAAAAGAAATACTAAGGATGGTTTACAACTTTTATTCTCTGATCCTAACTTTCTTTCTTTCTTTCTTTCGTAAAATGTTTCTACTGTCAGTTTTAAATGTAGGTTTTTACGCAAAACAATAGAAAGAGTGACTTCTAGCTGGAACATTTTAACTTTTTCTTATTAGCGTTTTGGAAGCAGATGATTGAAAATTGTCCCCCAGTTTGAGGATGGGCACGAAATAATGTTTCATTCACCTTTTGTGTGTAAGTATAAGGTAGTTGGATGGAACGGAAAGCAATTTACATGTAGGCAGGGCGGAAAGAAAGATACAGTAGTGTCTCTTTACGTCCTACTGAAGGTTGAAAGATTGAAAAATATAGCTGGAAGTATATGGGGGATGTCAGGAGAGAGGGTGTTAGGGACACTGGGAAGCGTTTAAGTTGGGAGGGTTTTGTGTAGTTATTATCTGAAATATGTTTCAGCAATATTTGCTGACTGCGATAAATGAATTTCAAAATCTACCCCCTGTGTGTTTATATTGTGGAAAACTGCAGTGTTGGCATGTTAGAGGTAACTTTGCTCGGTTGTTACCAAATGTCAATAAAATAGAAAGTCTTTCTATTTCATCCCCCCCCCCAATCCCACCCCCTCTTCTTCCCAGCTTCCGTAAGCACCATGTTAAAAAAAAATAAAAGTTTAAGTTGGTGGGGGGGGGTGGAGATGGGGGACCATGCATCAGTTAATGTCCATAAAGGTTCTGTTTTGGATGTGATAAGCGAAACAATTCTTTAGTTTGCCATCATGCCCAGCCACATCTTTAACAAATCCTCTACCGTGGGAGGGAGGGAGGGGGAGATGGGATGGGGAGGGGGGAACCACAAAAAGTCAATGTTATATATGAAAAACTATAATCATTTTAATTCAATATTGACACCCCAACATCTTGCAATAATGCGAAAGGTTCCAATCGAAACCTCTGTTTTATAGCAGTAGAGGAAGGAACTCGTAAAACCCTAACAGCTTTTATGTAGTGCGGTATAAACAACAACAACATCCCTGGCTTTATTGCGTTTTATAGTTTGTTAAACAGTTTACAGCCTTTTTTGGGGCTATTACAAATGCAATTCCCTTCATGTGATAGTTAAACCTTTATCAATAATAAGGAAATTGATCATTAAAATGTTAAATATGACTACCTCGTTTGTTTTAAAATATGTTTAGGATAAGAAGCTGTATGATTTGATAACTTGTATTAAAATACCAATTACATTTATAGGACCTTTTAAAACTGGTAGCAATTAAATCGTGTTCTTTTACAGTTTTCCAAAGCGACCCTGACATTTAAAAAGGCTAAAACTGCCTCGTTAAAATTTTGAAATTAACGACTGAGCGCGCCTCTCTTTGATTTTCCAACACTCCCCAAAAATCAATCTTTTGGGTGGTCTAGGTATTTGATTTGTTGTGAGGCGAGAGATATCTCATTAATGTAGGTAGTTAAACATATTTAATCCGTATATTCACCCCACCTCTCCCTCTCTCTCTCTCTCTCTCTCTCTCTCTCCCTCTCTCTCTCTCTCCCTCCCTCTCTCCCTCTCTGGCTTTTCCTTCTTTATTCTCTCACACTCTTCTTTTCACAATCATGCAGTGCACAGTCCGTGTGGAGTAAGGAGAAGCCAATGGGATGAGGTTTTGGTAATAGATGCAAATGATCATGAAAAGACACTGCAAAATATGAAACAACTCATTTGCGCCGAAGTAAATCACTGAAAACTGTTTATGAACTGGCATCTCTTCTTGGAAATGTAAAGCGAGAACTCTATAAGTGGCGATTTTTTTAGGGGGGGGGGAAGCAAGAATTCAATATCATGCAGGCTTAGAGTTTTGATTATATCCTCCTTTTATATTCCTGGAAACCACAAACTGTTGTTGCTTAGCATCTTAGCTCTTTCTGCGCTAATAGATTCCCGTGGTTTAAAAAAAAATTAAAATGAGCTCTTATTTTGTCAACTCACTGTTCTCCAAATACAAAACCGGGGACTCTCTGCGCCCCAACTACTATGACTGTGGCTTTGCTCAGGATCTTGGAGGTAGACCCACAGTTGTGTATGGACCCAGCACTGGTGGTACCTTCCAGCATCCGACCCAAATTCAGGAGTTTTACCACGGAGCATCCTCTCTCTCCAGCTCCCCTTACCAACAGAATCCCTGCGCTGTAGCGTGCCATGGGGACCCAAGCAACTTCTATGGATACGACCCATTGCAAAGACAAAGCCTGTTCGGTGCACAGGAATCGGACCTGGTGCAGTACACGGATTGCAAGCTAGCTTCCAGCGGCCTGGGGGAAGAGGCGGAGAATTCAGAACAGAGTCCTTCTCCTACACAGCTTTTCCCTTGGATGCGACCGCAAGGTGAGGCGAAATAGAAAGGGCAGAGAGGAGGCATTTCCTGAACCCATAAAGTATCCCCTTTCCACAGTTACTTTTTACTGCTTTATGGGGGTAAACTTTTGCACTTGTAAATTGCTTTATAGTTTAATTACCCTGAAGGAGACCTTTTCTTCTCCTTGTGGAGAGCTGGGCTTTCAATGTGGGGCGCTTCCCCTAAAGTTTATTGCACTTTTATAGCCTGAAAGCGCCTTCATTTGAGGGTGTTTTTTTTGTGTTTTGTTTTGTTTTTGGTCTTCGCCCGGGCTCTAGCTATACACTGTGCTTTGACTACAAAGGAGTGGGGAGAGATTTTTTTTTTTTAGTGAACCCATTTTGTGATTTTTCCACCCCCACACGCTTTCCTTGAGAGTCCCCCCCCCCCCCCCCCCTTTGTAATATTATAGAAGAGTCGGGTCTGTCTCTGTGTTTGTTTCCTGCCTTTGCTTCTGTCTCCTCTCTCCTCCCCCCCCCCTTCGCTTTCTATTCCGGAGCCTGGTTTATGTATCTTTCAACCTCCTTCTCTTCTCCCCCATCCTTTGCCACCCCCCAGCAGCCGCTGGACGCAGAAGGGGGCGGCAGACCTACAGCCGTTACCAAACCCTGGAGCTGGAGAAGGAATTTCTCTTTAATCCCTACCTGACCCGCAAGCGGAGGATCGAGGTGTCGCACGCCCTGGGACTGACAGAAAGGCAGGTCAAAATCTGGTTCCAGAACAGAAGGATGAAATGGAAAAAGGAAAACAACAAAGACAAGTTTCCCAGCAGCAAATGCGAGCAGGAAGAACTGGAAAAACAGAAAATGGAAAGAGCCCAGGAGGTGGACGAGGAAGGGGACGGACAGAAGGGGGACAAGAAATAAGATTTTTAAGAACTGAGAGGCAAGCACTAAGGGTCTGATGGGATCCTGACTCTTACATTAATGGCAGCTAATGTAAGGGGGGGGGAGGGAACAATGCATAGAAAAGAGAAGAAGAAAAAACCTTTTATTGCTGTAAAACAATATAGCTCTAAGCACCCACTTTTCCTGATTGTCCTTTGGTACAATGAACAGTATGCAAAAGAGATCCGGAGGTCTTTCTAGCCTTTCGCCAGTTATTAACTAGTGGTAGTGTATCGCAATAGCTTATGTAAAACATGACTGTGAATTTTCTCTCTCTCTCTCTCTCTCTCTCTTCTTTATTGGGGGGTTGGTTAACTCTGCTTTCAATGCTATAGGAGTTTATGTGAAATTATATTGTGCACTTTTGAATCCTCCTCCTTTCTGTTGTGGTTCACTGTATGTACTGGAGGTAGCTATTGAAACAGACATCCCGACAACATGAAACTGCCTATTTATGCTGTAGTTATCTCTTCCTACTCTCTCGCTCTCTCCCTCTCTTTTATGTTGATTCTTTTGTCACGTTCCTTGCTTCTGTTCTTGGGTTTTGGTTTGGGTATTTTTTTTTTTTTTTACAGTTTTGTGTCTCTTCCAAAAGCCTTTTTTCCCTCCTCTCTCTCTCTCCTTTAGTTAGCATGCGCACAGTGGAGCAAGTTGTAAAGTGATCCTTAGGTTTACTGTGAAAAAGAATGTATACTGTATACGTGAATTACTTTATGGGGGAACTAATGATATATTTTGTTGTTCTTTCATCACTTTGTTCTATTGTCTAAACCTGGAAGCGGCGGAAGAAAGTTACAATAAAGTTTACAAGCGAGAATCCCGTGACATCATTCATTTACCCTGCTTCATTTCCTCCAGGACTACTTTGATAGAAAGGAAATAAAAGTCAATTGTGTCAGACTTGCAGCCCTTGAAACCCAAGGAGTGTTTAGCCTTTAGCGAGACTGAAGAGTTTAGGTTGCTGTTAAGACTGGAGGAGGCAGTGACTGAAGTATGCTCGTAGGGTTTTTCGTCTTTCGGGGTGCGGGGAGGGGGGGCAACGGATTGTTTTGTTGTTGTTTTTTAACAGTTCATATATGTTGACAGATTAGGTGGCTGTGTGGAAATCCTTCCTCAAGGTAAATTTTTCTTTCATTGCTTACTCCCGGTTTCCCCGAGATGAATCCCAATCACTCAGAAATGAATCACTCCCCCCCCCCTCCATCGGTTTGCAGAATTGTCAGTTGTGCAATTGAGTGGCTGACATGCTAACCCTCCCTGCTTTGCCTGATATCTTCCACCCTGGAACTACTGAAGTGTATGTACGTGAGGTTTGTTTTCCCTTTCAACATAACCTTGGGAAGGCGGAACAGCGAAAATCTGAGATGCAGATGAATCATCATCTTCTCATTTGCCAGTAAGGCTTTGATTTAAAAATGAGAAGGGGAGAGAGAGAGAGACAGGTTACTTTTTGGAAGATCTCCCTGCTTCCCCAGCAGAAAGCTAAGCAGACAGCTGGTAACGCTTTACTTATAGCTGTAATTGGCTGCCCTAGAACCGCTGACAAGCTAAACAAGGGATCTGTATAGTCTTTATTTTTCGCAACCAGGAAAGCCAATGCCAGCTCAATGCGCAGCTCAACGCCTGTGGCACGAGAATGAATTAAATATACAGCTGAATAGCATTTTTTTCCCCACAAAAACCCTAAAGTAGGGGGTATCAATGAGGCATTTGTCTTTTCAGGGCTACAGATAAGGGGTGGGGGGAAGGGTGTACAGCCTCCCGAAAAACTATGACAAAGACCGTGGAGAGCTTATGGGGCGAAGGAAGGAATTTTAGACAGAATCAATAAAGGAATAAATAGAACTCCGTTCATTTATTTCTCCCAGCAAAGAGAGAGAGGGAGAGAGAGATGCTGTTTTATAACCAACGTTTTTCTACCCTTCCCCCCCACCCCTCCTCTTTCTTCGTCTCAGTTGAAAACTGATTACAGGTTGCTTATCGACTCCGGCTCAATTCCACCCCATTCTCGCATAGATCTTGGAGGGTTTATATCACATACATTATTTATCATATTTTATAAATCCAATAGTACTCCAATTTTTTTTTCCACATTACCAGGAGCCAGTGGGGAAGCTGGCTGCTGATTGGAGCGGGCAAAATCACGTGCCCCGGAGTCACATGGGCAGGGAGGAAAAAGGGGGTCCTTTTTGGTGTAAATCTGGACTCTAATTCCGTAATATATCACGGTACCTCGTAAAACCGACACTAAAACGTCCCGGCCTACAAATCACCCGGCCAAATTATGAGTTCATTGTATTATGCGAATGCTTTATTTTCTAAATATCAAGCCGCAAGTTCAGTTTTCCCATCCGGCGTCTTTCCTGAGCAAACTTCTTGCGCTTTTGCCTCCAATACCCAACGAACGGGGTATGGATCTGGTTCCAGCGCCTCTTTCGCTGCTTCCATGCCTGGGCTGTACGCCAACGCGGGCAGCGTGCACCCCCAAACCTCTAGCATGTATTCCACCAGCTACGGCCTGGAAACCAGTTCTTTCAACATGCACTGTTCTCCGTTTGAGCAAAACCTCTCGATGATGTGCCCGGGAGATGCCTCCAAGCAGACGTGCAGCAAAACGGATCAGAGGGACTCAGACTTGCAAAGCGAAAGCAACTTCCGGATCTATCCCTGGATGAGGAGTACAGGTAAGTCAGAAGCCTCCTTAAAGGAAGACGCCTTAGGGGGGGAAAAAATGTAAATTATTTTATGGCGTGCGGGAAAGGGTGGGGGGAAGGGGAGGGGGGAATTGTCCCCAACTCCTTTTATGACGTTTCGCCGAAAATGAAGCGCTCTTTCGCTCTGCCTTCGAGAGAGAGAGAGAGGGAGAGAGAGACCCCCCCCCCCATAAAGCCATCCTTTTAGCTTTAAATATTTATTACAGCTGCTGGTGCTGCGTGTATGCGATGCAAGAGGCAGTTTGTCTTAGTGAGGAAAGGCAGGGCTGCAAAATCATAGCCAGTAGCTTCTTGTCCCCATACTTAACTCTGTTTAAAAAAACAATGTTTTTGTTGGCTTGTTCTTAAATCAACTCTGTAGAGGCGGCTCGCAGGTTTGTTATTTTTTTTTTTTTGATTTATTTATTTATTTGCTTGCTTGTTTAAAATTGCCAGAGTCTTAGCATAACGTCCCAGACAGCGCAATTAAGCCCTGGATGTGACCATGAGTCTAATAGAAACGGCAACACATAATCCCTGCTTTCAAACTTGTGAAATTTCGGAAGGGGAATAAATAAAGAAACAAATAAATAAATGCGGGTCTCGTGTCAATAACGCAGCGGCTAGGATCCCTGGTTAATCAAGGTCGGCGTGTTTGTGCTTTTCCTTTGCCTGTTGGAGAAGCTCTGGGTAAGGTGCTGATCTGCGGTAATGGAACTGCATTGGGTTTATTAGACAAAGTGCCTGGACCAGCTTCCAAAAGTTGTTAGACCCACATGATGCTGTCAGAGTGATGAACAAACACGGGCCGTGGAGCTCTGGATTCTGTTTCCTCACCACAAGATAAGGGGAGAGGGACAGGGTCTCATTAAGCGAAGATGCCTACTTAGCATATGTATTTAAAATACAAATCTGTCTAATGCACCCATCCCGGCTGGCATACGTATCTTTCATTCACCAACACGCTTCCTCTCAGCATATTAGTGTCAATTAACATTTAATAAATATCCTTATTCATTACAAGAGATAGTGTTCTGACATAGCCTTAGTTTCCCAATACACTGAATTCATTTCAAGCATTAAGAAATGCACGGGTTATAAGGCGTGAAAACGCTGGCCTGTCTCTCTTTTGTTGTTGGACGAAATCACTTCTAATTCTTATCTGGTCTTTCTCAGATCACTACCTAGCAAATTGAAATATGAATATCTCATTTTTACTCTAAATTGAGGTTTAAAAAAAATTGCTGCCCCATTGAAAGCAGTGTGGAACATGTGAGCTCATTTCGCTGCTACTCTTAAACTCTGGTTTTCCTATGATTTGCCAGATTGCAACTTGATAGCCTCCTGACTAATGAGTTAACTTTAAGCCAGATAGTCTGAACGTATGTTGGTAGGAAACTTTAGGGGAGAACAAACTCCTGCCCAATGTATGTGCCAATTGAAGGAAGCCCAATGTAGGCGCTTGTGTTACCCTACACTTATTTGTGGTCAGTATTTTCCATTACCTGCTCCATAATCCATTCACTTTTACAGTTGATGTATCAAAGACCAAATATTTCTGGTTGTGAACACTTCATCTCTGCCTTTCGATTTAAGGATCCCCCACTCCTTCTTTCTAACGTGTGCCACTGGATAACAACAAGACTAGGGAGGATTTTGGAGTAGTGCGAATATGCTGGATTCCTGCGAAGACAAGCCCTCCAAGATGCATATTTTGTGGTTTGCAGTGCCTAAAACTAAAACACTACCTGCTCCTAGAGATCCCCCCCCCCCCACCTTTGCCCACTGTGTAATTGGGTTTGTGGAATTTCATCAGCGATGAAAAGATAGTATAGCCATTCCCATTCAACAACAGTTTATGGCTCTTCCCTCAACGGATTTTACAACCCACATTCCACAGAACTGCAGCTTTTACTTCCTTGCTAGCTCTTTTACAGCTAGCCTGGCCATTTTCCTTTTCCTTTCTTTAATAACCATCTTTTCTTCCTTAAAAAAAAAAAGAATCCACTGGAATGTTTTGGATGGATGTTGAGGGCTTGTACTGGCCATCCTGGGTATCAACTGAATAGAAAAAATAGAAACCACAAACATCATGTTGCTGCATAATTATTTCCAATTGAATTCCAACAAATGGCACGAAAATGTGCTCTGGTTTCATTCCAGTCCCCTTTCACAGACAACTAAATAGTTGCGGGTAATGCCGGATGACTGCCGAGTCTTTGTGTCAGCCTGTTCCCATGTAGATAAAAATATTCCTCTTCAAAACCTTCTGGTTATGCAGCCCCA